CCACCATGTCTCCCCCTCTCTTCACTGGTCCGGTAAACTTCACCTGCGCCTCTATCTCTCATGGTACCTCTTAGGCCTAGCCTAGGTCGGCAATGTGGGTCCACGAAAGTTCTTCGGCAGAGCCAACTATTTTTTAAGTGTTCGCGGTCCACTTTTCTTTTCTCTGTTTATTTAAATTGAATTGCATGTATGTGTGTTTTCTATTATTATTGTGGCCAGAGGAGCAGGTCCCCCTGAAACCCCCTACCTCCCACCCACCCCCGGCTGTCGAATACAATTTAAGTTATCATAACTTAAGTGCTGAAGGTGCGGTCCACCAAACGTAAGCCAGCCTCCAAGAAATTACGCAACAATGGGCAATTACACGCTCACTCGCACGCGCGCTTTGCATTGTTTGAACTGATAGGTCATCTGAGTATCTCTGCATTGTCCCGCTCATTTTAGTACTTCTGTTGTTTGTCGATGAGGCATGATGTCGAACAATGGCTTCCTATATGACTATTTTTGCTTATTTCGTTTAGCGGAGATTTTACATTCCAATAGACTGAAGAAGTGGTTGAGAAGCAAACAACCTTTAATTGATTTTTCGGACACAACGTGCAATTCTGGTGCATATTTTTCGTGATTAAAGGATAGTTCCGCTTCTGTGGATGGATAAAGAAATTTGGAAATGCCAGAACAGACAGTGCAGGAAGAAATTAAAATGCAGGTCAGTTTACATTTTAGTCTCATCCCCCCTTGTCTCTCTCTCTCTCTGGTGGTATTCTTGCAGCCCTCACTCACCCCGTCTCGCGTCTCCGGGAACAAGTCTCACTCACTCCGCCTCACGTCACCGGGAACTAGTTCGCGTAGCAGTCGATTAGGACCTGTGACTGTATAAGTCTGTTGTTTGCCTAGTGCGCATTAATACATTATAAACATGGTGGGTCCACTAAAGTTCAATCCAGCCCATTTTTGTCATAAATATCCTAATGCGTTGTTGCGTAATTGCGAGTTCGTATGACAAATGGTCGATTGGTCAAGGATCACTGCTTCGTTTTCTTTCATCTCATGGGATGGAATGCTTGAAGCAGGCCAAAATATTTAATATACGTCACTGTGGTCACTGACTAAAACAGGCTTACTTAAAAACCGACAGTGGACTCTCCGTCTAAACGAAGCTTGACTGCCGCAACGAGACTCAACAGCGCCTGCAACACAGTCCAAACTGCACCTAGACGTCTAGAATCTAGATCTAGATCTTGGTCTAGATCTACTTGATGAGTCATAGGCCTAGAAAAACAAGCTTTGCTCGTGAAGGCAGTAAGCAGTGGGTCTACTGCTGCACAATCTAGTGATAAATAAAACCAAAAGTTAAAAAAATGCATGCAGCACCTGTTTGTTTTCATTCACATTGACTCCATTTTGATGCAGTGATGCAGTACACTACAATCTACCCGTGTGTGTATAATTTTCGGTCACGATTTCAAGTTCGATTACTTTTAGCTTCAAGTATCTGAAACTGATGTCTGATGTCAAAAGAAGTGAAAGTAGACAAGTAAACTT